TAGGAATAAGAATAAAACTGAAATTCTATCACAAACTTTAAATTTACATCACAATTTTACACTTTAGACATCTAGCAAAAAAACTTTAAAAGTTTGGCAATGATTTCAGCTACTCTATGTCCCATTTATAATCCTAAATGGCTGCTGAAGGAACACAACAGGTTTTTGTTTTTTTTTGAGACGGAGTTTCGCTCTTGTTACCCAGGCTGGAGTGCAATGGCGCGATCTCGGCTCACCGCAACCTCCGCCTCCCGGGTTCAGGCAATTCTCCTGCCTCAGCCTCCTGAGTAGCTGGGATTACAGGCACGCGCCACCATGCCCAGCTAATTTTTTGTAGTTTTAGTAGAGACGGGGTTTCACCACGTTGACCAGGATGGTCTTGATCTCTTGACCTCGTGATCCACCCGCCTCGGCCTCCCAACAAGACAGTTTTTATTACCAGCTCTGCTGATAGTGACATGTGACCCATCATGCTTTCCTTCCTCAACACAAGTAACTGACTGAAGTGGAAGATTTCTCTCTTCTTCAGCCCAGGCTTGATGATCTGGTTGACAGTGATGACGCTATTTCACTGAAACAATTGCATGAATTGAAGCTTCGTGCACTGCTTGGGAAGTTGCTTTGGAGAATTTTCGGGAGCAGACTTCAGATTGCGGCTCTCATTTTGTTGTACGAACGCTTTGCTGATCATCATCAATTCTTGCTGCATTCTTCCTTTGCAATATCTTCCATCTATCTATTACTTCATAATAAGATCCCCAGAACTTAGTGGTATAGAATAACAACTGTTTGTACTCATGGATTCTATGCATCAGGAATTCACACAAAGGGCAGCAGTGGCTGTTTCTGCTACATGACGTCTGGGCCTCAGTTTGAAATATATAAATGGTTAGCGTGGAGTCCTGATCAGATAAGTAAACAAGGAGGAAGGGGCCCCAGGTTGGGGAGGGCCCCAGGTTGGGAAGAACAATGAACAATTTTTCTGAGAGATGGCTAATCACAGTCCTCGGTCACAGCGACCTCTTTCTGCATGTAGCCCCCCCAGCATGGCCCTATGAGACTTCCTTCCAAGGCCGGGCGCAGTGGCTCATGCCTGTAATCCCGGCACTTTAGGAGGCTGAGGCAGGCAGATGACCTGAGGTTAGGAGTTTGAGACCAGCCTGACCAATACGGTGAAACCTTGTCTCTACTAAAAATACAAAAATTAGCCAGGCATGGTGGTAGGTGCCTGTAGCCCCAGCTACTTGGGAGGCTGAGACAGGAGAATTGATTGAACCCAGGAGGTGGAGGTTGCAGTGAGCCGAGATTGTGCTACTGCACTCCAGCCTGGGCAACAGTGTGAGACTCTATCTTAAAAAAAAAAAGAAACATCCTTCCAGTCCCTGCCTCTCTGCAGACAGCCCCTTCTCTGCTGTGCTGCCTGTTGTAAGCTTGCAATGTATTTTCATATCTTCTCTAATAAATCTGCCTTTCTTTACCTACAACTGTCTTGGTAAATACCTTTACTGCCCACAACACCCACCACACCTAGTTGCATCCATGACAGTTGGGGGTGACTCAAATGGCTGAGAGCTAGAACCAGCTGGAAATTTCTTCACTCACTTATCTGGTACCTGGGCTGAAATCCTGTGAAAGCTGTGCTCAGCGGGGAGCTGTTGATAGACGCACCGACATGGCTTTTCTGTGTGGCCTGGGCTTCCTCACAGCATGAAAGCCAGAGGGAAGCTCACTGAACGTCTTATTTGGAAGCTCAAGGATACAAGAATAAGAGTATTCCAGCAAATTGAGGAAGAAGCTGTGCGGCCTTCTGTAACATGGTCTGAGAAGCCACATAGCTTTCCTTCCACCAAACTCTATTGGTTAAAGTATTCACAAGTCTGCTCAGAAATCAGAGGAGACGACATAGATCCTCACTTCTCAATAGAAGTGTCAGAATTTATGGCTATGTTTTTAAACCACTGCCTAAAAGTATACACTCATTCTTCCATGGATACATAGAATTTCAACATACAAAGCACATGAGATTTAAAAACTTTAATTAGGCCGGGTGTGGTGGCTCATGCTTGTAATCCCAGCACTTTGGGAAGCTGAGGCAGGCAGATCATTGGGTCAGGAGTTCGAGACCAGCCTCACCAACATGGTGAAACCCAGTCTCCACTAAAAATACAAAAATTAGCCAGGTGTGGTGATGGGCCCCTGTAATCCCAGCTACTCGGGAGGCTGAGGCAGGAGAATCATTTGAACCCAGGAGGCGGACAGAGGTTGCAGTGAACTGAGATCACACCACTGCACTCCAGCATGGGCAACAGCGAGACTCCATCTCAAAAACAAAAACAAACAAAAACCTTTAATTATAGCTAGAGTGTTTATAGCCAGAGTGTTTATTGGAATATTCAATTATTCTAGATAATTGAATATGACCTAGAATATTACAGCTAAAATGTTTCTCTTTATTGGAATATTCAGATGTGAATTATGTGAATAATCAGATGTTAACGATTTGAATAACACGACTTTTGAGCACAAAACATGACGGGAGCTGCGGCAATCACACAAATATTGATGACACCCAAATTTAGGGATGCCAGAGATGACAGGAAGATGAACATTCGGCTATTTGGCCTTACAAAGGCCAATTTCAAAAATGAACCCAAAGAACAGGTTTTGGTTGAATGCCAAGGCCAAAATTGTTCTTCAGTGCATTTTTCAGATGAGAACTCCCTGAATCTTCAAAACTTCCAAATCAGGAGGTTTTTTTCATTAGAACTCCTACTATAGAGAAAAGGAATGAGCTCAGAGGGCTCAAATTATTTAACCTGGCAAAACAAACAAACAAACAAAAACAGATGGCAAGTTCAACCAAGTCACATAGGAGTGCTTAATTAATTTTTTTTGTTCTGTTTTGTTTCTGAGACAGGGTCTCGCTCTGTTGTCCAGGCTAGAGTGCAGTGGTGTCATCTTAGCTCACTACAACCACTACCTCCCGGGGTTCAAGCAATCCTCCCACCTCAGCCTCCTAAGTAGCTGAGACCACAGGTGACTTCCACACCTGGCTAATTTTTTGCATTTTTGGTAGAGATGAGGTTTTGCTGTTTTGCCCAGGCTGGTCTCAAACTCCTGAGCTCAAGTGATCTGTCCGCCTCAGCCTCCCAAAGTGCTGGGATCACAGGCGTGAGCCACAGCGCCCGGCTTTAATTATTAACAAAGGTCTTGGCCATGGGCAGCAAGGTTGAGGTGGGAGGCCCAGGGGACTCCACTGACGGCCACACTGAAGACCGGCCAAAACCTGGAAAAGGCACCAAAAGCCACTCTCCGTAAGACATGACTGCCAGCACCATGACAGTTTACCATTGCCATGGAAACACCCATACGTTACTGCCCATTTGCTGGTTAATTCTGAATAACCCACCCCTTAATTAGCATGTCATTAGAAGTGCGTATTAATGTGACCGCAGCCTTGCCCCTGAGCTGCTACTGTCAGCACACTGCCTATAGAGGGCGTAGTCCTCTTTGTTAGGTTTTGGAGGGAAGGTGAGGGTTAAAGAAAGACACAGACAGTGGGCAGCTCAACAGCAACCCAGGTATACCGCAGACACCTATGGAAGTGGGGGACCAGCTTAATGCCAAAGCCCACCGCTGCTTATAGGCTGGGGGTGTTTATAGTTATGGGTGGGAGGGGTCTGGGCAGTATGGCTTGCTGTCCAGCAGGATATTGACAAGACGGTCCCATGATGAGGCGGTTCTGGCCCTTGTTCTGGTAGTATGTCGTGTTCTCTGCACTTTCTCCCAGTAGAATATGATAGGGATGTTTCTTTGCCTGACAGGGTATGATAATGTTTCTCTTTTTTTCTTTATTTTTTGTATTTATTTTTTTTTTTTTGAGAAGGAGTTTCACTCTTGTCTCCCAGGCTGGAGTGCAGTGCCGGGATCTCAGCTCACTGCAACCTCTGCTTCCCAGATTCAACCAGTTCTCCTGCCTCAGTCTCCCGAGTAGCTGGGACTGCAGGTGCCCGACACCACGCCCAGATAATTTTTGTATTTTTGGTAAAGACAGGGTTTCACCACGTTGGCCAAGCTGGTTTCAAACTCCTGACCTCAGGAAATCTGCCTGCCTGTGCCTCCCAAAGTGCTGGGTTCACAGGCGTGAGCCACTGCAGCAGTCTGATAATGTTTCTTCAGTTGGGCCTTTGTCCGCTTTGTGGTCAGGTGGGTAGGCAGGATGTTTCTCACGGCCTGAACCCCCATAGAATATTTCACTTGAACCAAGGTCTGCAAAATAGTCGGGTGCGGGGGCGGCTAACAAAATGGTTGTAGCTCGGATTAAGACTCCTCTGCAGGGGCAGTCACTGAGCTGTAACATTGCTCCCCCCTTCCTGGAGGACACCAACAACCCACCCTGCATCACGTTGAGGAAACAAGGCAAGGCAAGGCATTATCCTCATGCTAGAAAGGGTCGGGTAGGAAAGTGAGAAGTTTCTAGAAGTTTCTGGAAATTCCTCGAAGAACCCAGGAGCTTGTAGTAGAGAAGGTTACAAGGCCAACAGGAGCTGTGGCTTTTGTTAGAGAAACCCAAGATTAAAGCCTCTTTTTCTTCCTTCCTTGATTTCTAGTGTCTCCCAAGAGTCACGCTGGGTGAATCTAACAGGTGGGGCAAAGGATGATAAAGTTAGTGGATGCGGTCATTGATGTTGGCGCTTCTCCCCGACCTGACCCCCGTTCCCGAGGCCCGCTTGGGTGGAAAAGTTGGGCCACCACGGAGGCGCCATCGGAGCGTACTCAAACCCCTTGCTCTGCGACCCGAACAGCCGCTCTTGCACCGGCTCTCTAGGTCCAACTGCGGCGCCGGCGCGTAGGCGGGCTCGGCCCTAGCAACCCACGGCCGGTTGCCATGGAGACCTCGGGAGCTGCACAGCCCGAAGACCCCCGAGCGGCGGTGCGGGAGCCAGTGCGCAGGCGCGCGCTGCGACGCCAACCTCGGCTTCGCGCAGCTGCCCGGATCGAGGCTGGAAGCCGCGTGACCTGCCGGGGCCGGAGCGGGGGCGGACGGCGTCCTTCTGGTTCTTTCTACCTCGAGCAGCTGCGCCGGGGTAGACGGAGCCAGAGACTGGGGAGCGGCTGCATCCCAGCGGCCTCTCCTTGTCCTGGCTGGGCGGTCGGAGGCTGGGCTGCCAAGTAAATCCCGGCCGCGCAGGGACGGAGGGCCTTTTGCGGCTGATCCCGGGACACGTGTGAGCACCTGGGGCCCGGGTTGGGGTGGAGGGTGTTGGGAAAGCGCGAGGCCTCCTGCAGGCCGGCCGCGGAGGGGGCAGCTAGATCTGCGAGCTTGGCCATCTTCCCGGGAGCCTGACCTCATTCCCTTGTCACCTTGCAGGATTACGGTTCGGGGACCGCTGCAGCCCCGCGTCCACCTGATAGACTCTACTACGCGTAATAGGGTCAGAGCCGCTAAATGTCCAAGACCATGGCGATGAACCTTCTGGAGGATTGGTGCAGGGGAATGGAAGTGGATATCCACAGGTCCTTATTGGTCACAGGCATCCCAGAGGACTGTGGCCAAGCAGAAATTGAGGAGACCTTGAATGCGGTCCTCTCCCCACTGGGCCCGTACCGCGTGCTCAACAAGATTTTTATGAGGGAAGAGAATGTTAAAGCTGCCCTCATTGAGGTTGGTGAAGGTGTGAATCTGAGCACCATCCCCCGTGAATTCCCAGGAAGGGGTGGTGTCTGGAGAGTGGTGTGTAGAGACCCCACCCAGGATGCTGAGTTTTTAAAAAATCTGAATGAATTCCTGGATGCGGAGGGGCGCACCTGGGAGGATGTGGTCCGCCTGCTTCAGCTCAACCACCCCACACTGTCCCAGAACCAGCATCAGCCCCCAGAGAACTGGGCAGAAGCTTTGGGGGTGCTCCTGGGAGCAGTGGTGCAGATCATTTTCTACATGGATGCCGAGATCCGAAGCCGGGAGGAAACCAGGGCCCAGGAGGCCTCTGAGTTCGAGGAGATGGCAGCCTGGGGTTTAGCAGGAGGGAGGAAGATCAAGAAGGAACCGGGGCTTGCAGCAGAGGTGGGTTCTGCTTTAAAGACGGAGAACCCCAACTGGAATGCCGCGGAAGACCAGCATGACCCTCCCAAACCGTTGGTTCGCAAGGCCGGAGCCAAGACTCGCTCCAGGAGAAAGAAGCAGAAGAAGAACCCCAAGCAGGAAGCAGTGCCCTGGAAAAAACCCAAAGGCAATGATTCCAGCAGCACAGCTGACTTGGAGGATCCTGAGGCGGGTGATGCTGAAGGCATGGCGGTTTCAGAGTCGATCAAGGGCAGCAGGAAGCCCTGTATGAAGCAGGAGGAGTTCACTTTGAAGAAGCTTGGGGCGAAAGGTGCCTGGAAGGGTCCCAGAGACCCTCCTCAGGATGTCCAGGCAGAAGCTGAGAATCCAGAAGGCGCCTCTGAGTCAGACCAAGATGGTGGCCACCAGAGTCCACCAAAGAAGAAGGCCATGGCCTGGGTTTCCACCAAGAACCCTGCCCTCATGAGGAAGAAGAAGAAGGTGAGCTTGGGCCCTGTCTCTTATGTCCTGGTTGACTCAGAAGATGCCAGGAAGAAGCCGGTGATGCCAAAGAAAGGGCCGGGCTCAAGAAAGGAGGTGTCAGTTCAGAAGGCGCCTCGAGGCCAGCAACCTGCTGAGCCAGCAGCCTCAACCTCTAAGGGTCCAAAGGCCAAGCCAGAAGGCTCTCCTCGGCGTGCCACCAATGGTGAGAATGACAACAGAAGTGACTGGGCTCCTGCCAGCAAGTGGGTGAGGCAGGAGGAGCAGGAGTGGCAGGCGGGGGCAGAGGAGCCTGAGCAGGTGGTGGGTCAAGCGGGTGATGAGGAGAATCCCAGTGCACTGCAGGAGGTGGATGACACACCAGTTGAGGAGGGTAAGAGCCCAACCCCCCCCCCAGGAGCCCCTGAAGGCCGATGCTGGGGACATCTAGTGGGCAGGAAGCAGCAGAGCAAACCTACCGACCGATCGTTTATCAATGAGTGTCGCTGTGGTCATTTGTCAACTCCATCTGACCCATCTTCCTTGATGAGAATTTAATGGTTTGGGGCCCCGCGTGGTGACTCGTGCCTATAATCCCAGCACTTTGGGAGGCAGAGGTGGGCAGATTGCTTGAGGTCAGGAGTTCAAGACCAGCCTGGCCAATGTGGTGAAACCCCATCTCTAACTAAAAATACAAAAAATAAGCTGGGTGTGGTGGCACATGCCTGTAATCCCAGCTACTTGGGAGGCTGAGGCAGGAGAATCTCTTGAACTCTGGAGGCAGAGGTTGCAGTGAGCCTAGATTGTGCCACTTCCCTCCAGCCTGGGTGACAGAGTGAGACTCTGTCTCCAAAAAAAAAAAAAAAAAAGAATTTAATGATTTGGGAGGCTGAGGCGGGCGGATCACTGAGGTCAGGAGTTCGAGACCAGCCTGGCCAGCATGGCGAAACCCTGTCTCTACTAAAAACACAAACATTTTTTTAAAAATTAATGCTTTGAAGTTATGGTGTTTGCCTGGTATGTGGCTTTAAGGGTGAAGTTTTCCAGAGGCCTGGCTGGGGAATAGAAATGTTCAGGGACCGAGAAATTTCTTGGAAGTAACACATTTCCTAATGACACCTCTCTCTGTTCCCTTCTTGAGCTATTCTCATTTATTCACAGAATCCAGAAATAAGTTGGAGGACCACCCATACCTGAGGAGTTGAAAGAACAAGGAAGAAGTTCCAAGTCAGCAAAATTTCCTCTTGTCACCGAATGAAATAAGACTTTGGACTGTCTGTCTTAGGGACCCTGTTGATAGCGATCCAGCTCCGAGGTAAACGATAGGTGAGGTCTCGGGTGGGAGGGAGTTGGGGAAGGGATGGATCTCTATGCCCTTTTCTCTGCCAGGCCTGCTCTTTCACTGCCCCCTCCACTCATCTTCAGAGGCAGGAGAGTTGGTAAGAGGATTGGGAAAATTCTAGAACATTCATCCCCCTTTATGCATGAGCAGGTCGCTGTTAACACTCATCCACGTTCAGTCTTTCTCCCCCACGCCTCGTATCCCTCCCGGGATGGTCAGCGATCTCTGCAGGCCCTGGCGTTTGGAAGAGCTGGGTGGCCCCGCCATATTCTCCCTTCCAGCCTTTCTCTCCTGTAACCAGTGGGGTAAGTTAAGCCAGGACCTTCACTGCAAACCTGGCTTCATTGCTCTTTCGGTCTCCAACCTCCAGTTACCTAGCCAGGAGGTCCCCGGAGTTAGTTTTAGGGGAAAAGAATGTCTGCTTAGATCTCGAAGTCCTTGAATTTTAGCGTCTGTTAGTAAAAATGGTACTTTGATTCCCATTTGGGATGAGCCCTCTCAGGAATCCTGTGGGGAAGGGAGTGATGGTAGGGAAGGACTCAGGCAATCCTAGGTCCCCAGCTCAAATTTCATCCATCCAACAAACTCACCATCTTTGCACCAAACTGTCAGGATCTTTGCAGCAGAAGGCCACTACTCCCATTATAGTAAAAGGGAAAAAAAATCTTTTAAAATTCAGCTGTCGATGTCTGCCCTCTGAATTTAGACACAATATATTAGACCAGACCACCACGTGCCATTGTGTGTGTGTGTTTGTGCGCATATGTATAGGAGAGGGCAGGGTCCCTGACACAGTGGTTTCCAAACTGTATCCTAGGTGTCCACCAAGATGTACTCCGAATCTGTTTTTTTTTTTATGTGTTTAAAAAACTGTGAAAAGTGACTACTCAGATATGTTGGAAACCAAACGAGTTCCATTGAAGACTATCAGACTATTTATCTTGTGTTCATAGGTTAACCTGGTTTTGTACACGTCTTGAGTTAGCTGCTTCTGGCATCTCTTTGCTTAAAATTGAGCTGCTTGTAAATGTGACTGATGAGAGAGGTTAGAAGGGGAAGAAATTCAGTCCTGTGCATGTCCTATTATCTGACGCGCTGAAAGCAAGTTTCCTTTTGTAATTTACACGCTCTCATTCTGCCGTGACTTTAGTTGTATGGTAGCGAGTAAATGTATTAACATCGTGAACAGTAATAATATTCTGTCATAGAGTATTAGCCCTTGTACATATCCAGGGTCTCTTTTTCCGACTTCAGTTTTTGTGGTGATGTGAACAGTTGTTATATGTTCCCAGTGATTCAGCTTTAAAACAAATTCCTTATGATGATTCATTTCAAAATCCTGAGGGAGTGTAATTGAAAAGTACAGGAGAAAAGAGAGTGGTTTCTGTTGACAGCTACGCAGCTGTGTGCATCAAGCTTCTCCTGGGGTGTGTGCAAAACAAAACCCAGGGGTGAATTGGATTCTTGAAATGACCAAAGCCTGCAACTGTCCAGCTTCCGATTTCAAAACGGGTTCATTAGGGCTTCATCGTCTTAACAAGTCGACACCATGACTTGTAATGTAAACGTGTATGTATAAAATAAAGCTTAGCAAATTAAGTGTCCTGTTCAGTCTCTTTTGTAGGTGGGGATTGCATGGACTATTAGATTTGAGGAAAGGGTTCCCCCTTCAAACAATACCCCCAGCCAGATGTGGCTGGTTATCAATATGGATTCAAGCTTTGAGAATTGATAATTATCCATGAGAGAAGAAGCCGTTTGTCCTCTTTGTGAAAGGCTTTCCACTGGTGTGGAAGGATGTGTCACAGATCTTAGGGTTTCTAGAACAGGTATCTGGTGATGTGAAGTACCTTAAAGTGCCAGTGTGTTTGTTTATTTATTTATTTTTATTATTTTTTTAGACAGAATCTCACTCTGTCACCCAGCTTGGAGTGCAGTGGCACAGCTCAGCTCACTGCAACCTCTGCCTCCCGGGTTCAATTGATTCTCCTGCTTCAGCCTCCAGAGTAGCTGGGACTACAGGCGTCTGCCACGATGCCTGGCTACTTTTTGTATTTTTAGTAGAGATGGGGTTTCACCATGTTAGTCAGGCTGGTCTTGAACTCCTGACCTCCTGATCCACCCGGCTCAGCCTCCCAAAATGCTGGGATTACAGGTGTGAGACACTGCGCCTGGCCCAATTTATTTTTATCAGTAGCTGGAAGATGAAAACCTTTCTCTCCCTTCCTGTTCCCTCACACAGAAGCCAAGGTCTTTTTTTTTTTTTGGTGGCGGTGGGGAGGGGATGGAGTTTTGCTCTGTCGCCCAGGCAGGAGTGCAGTGGCATGATCTTAGCGTACTGAAACCTCTACCTCCTGGGCTCAAGTGATCTGCCTGCCTTGGCCTCCCAAAGTGTTGGGATTATAGGCGTGAGCCACTGCGCCCAGCCAGAAGCTGAGGTCTTTTAGCTAAAAGTCTAGTTTTCTTTTGACCCTCCCCTGCCCCTCCCCAGGAACTCCTGAACCAGGGTGTCCACTGTATCAGTCACTTGGAATCTGTTCAAGGTAGCATTTTGTGGCCCCACCTGCTGATTCAGGACCTCTTGGGGGTTGTACCTGGGAATCTGCATCTTAAACAGTTTCTCCTGAGGAGTCTACTAATAATACAGGTTGGAGAGCTTCAGGTGGAATAATTCAGACTTGGGGAAAGGGAAGTGTCCTTACGGGTCTGGGTTGGGGTTTTGTGAAAGGGAATGGAGATTGTGAGGAAAGATGGGAAAGAAACCAAAAGGGATGAACGGGCACAGCGGCTCACACCTGTAATCCCAGCACTTTGGGAGGCCCAGGGCGGGCAGATCATGAGGTAAGGAGATCGAGACCGTCCTGGCCAACATGGCGAAACCTCAGCTCTACTAAAAATACAAAAAATTAGCTGGGCGTGATGGCGGGTGCCTGTAATCACAGCTACTCCGTAGGCTGAGGCAGGAGAATTGCTGGAACCTGGGAGGTGGAGGTTGCAGTGAGCTGAGATCACGCCACTGCACTCCAGCCTGGGTGACAGAGCAAGACTCTGTCTTAAAAAAAAAAAAAAAAAAGGAAAAAAAAGGCTGGGATTGCAGGCCAGGGAGTTCATTGGGAACTGCTGGGTACTCATAGAAGCATCTGGATGAAGGTCTATTTATTGGGTCCCCCCACACTCCCACAATAAACATCTTGCCCAAAAAGCCCCATTTGGACAAGATGTTTAAGTACCTCCCACAATAATGGTCACTCACACACTTGCACTGGTTACACCCAGGCCATCAGGAAAGTCTGGAAGGCCAACATGGCCAAAAAGTGGGGGGAATCCAAGGTGGGGGCACATGAAAGCTGTTTTCAAGGAAACCTCATCACCCCAGGAGGAGGCGTTCGGTTCAGGGGTGTGTCTGGGTGAGGCTAGCCCGGAGTGTTTGCAGGGAGATGGAGAGCTGTGGATGCCACCAGCAGGGCTCGAGGGTAAAGCGTCCTGGTTGCCGATGCTGTCATTCAAGCAAGGTTCATTGAGAATCTGCTGTACGACAGAGTTCTGGCCTCCTGGAGCCTGACGTTCCAGTGAGGACAGCCCTTATACAGATGCAGGTGGAGGGGGGCTGAGCTCTGCCGTGAGGAATAAAGAGGAAGAGAGGCAGGCAAGGTGCGTGTGCGGGAGCGGCTGGCCGTCACCTACATGGTTGGGGAGACTCTCTGCGGACTCGAAGTCTGAACAGACGTGAAGGGGGTGAGGGGTGAGACAAGCAGCTGGCCGCAGATGGCCTCCTGGGCAGAGAGGAATAGTCATCGTAGAGGTAGCCTCTGATCTGTTTGAGAAAGTGAATGAGGCCGGGCGTGGTGGCTCACACCTGTAATCCAGCACTTTGGGAGGCAGAGGTGGACAGATCACCTGAGGTCAGGAGTTTGAAACCAGCCTGGCCAACGTGGTGAAACCCCATCTCTACTAAAAATACACAAAATTAGCCAGGTGTGATGGTGCATGCTTGTGGTCCCAGCTACTTGGGAGGCTGAAGCAGGAGAATCGCTTGAACCCGGGGGGTTGAGACTGCAGTGAGCTGAGATCACGCCACTGCACTCCAGCCTGGGCGACAGAGCGAGACTCTGTCTCAAAAAAAAAGGAGGAGGTGAGGAGCAGAGTCCGGGGGCTTTGAAGCCTGGTGTGCAAGGCCCTTGGCCTCCCAAAGTGCTGGGATTACAGGCCAGGATGGATTCTGGCTTTAATCTGAGAGTTGGGAGCCATGAGAGGGTGCTGAGCACAGCGTCAGGATCTTACATAGGTGTTTCCCGGCTCCCTCTGGAAGCCTGGTGGGAAACAGACTGCAGGGGGTCAGTTGGGAGCCTAGTGGGGAAGTGACAGTGGCTGGCCCAGGGAGGCCCTGGAGGCCCAAGAAAAAGCCTCCCATTTGGGAATCTGGTTAGCAGAGCTGCCAAGGAGAAGGACATGGGTTGTGTTGATTTACTTGAGTTCCTTTTTTTTTTTTAAAATGTTTTCATTTTTTAGGTAAAATAAAACATTTATATACAGTGAAATGAATAGACCTTAAGTGAACGGTCTGAGTTTGGACACAGGCGGGCACCTGTGTAACCCACCCCTGAGACAAGATACAGAACGATGTCATCAGAAGGCCTCCCTGTGCCCCAGTCCCCGCCCCCAGCTCTCAGAGGCGAGCACTAATGATTTTTCCATCCAAAGTTCAGTATGTCTGTCCCACGTGTCCCATGCCCAGCTAATTTTTGTATTTTTAGTAGAGATGGGGGTTTCACCATGCTCATCAGGCTGGTCTTGAACTCCTGACTTCGTGATCTGCCTGCTTCGGCCTGAGTATAAGTGGAGTCATATAGCATATAGGTTTTTTTGGTGTCTGGGTTCTTTTCCTCAGCATGATGTTTTTGTTTTGTTTTTTTTTAGGGAGTTTTGCTCTTTTGCTCAGTCTCAGCCTCCCAAGTAGCTGGGACCACAGGCATGCGCCATCCCACCTGCCCGCCCAAGCTGGAGTGTAGTGTGATTCTCCTGCCTCAGCCTCCTGAGTAGCTGGGATTACAGGTGCCTACTACCATGCCCAGCTAATTTTGTATTTTTAGTAGAGACAGGATTTGCCATGTTGGCCAGGCTGGTCTCGAACTCCTGACCTCAGGTGATCTGCCTGCCTCAGCCTCCTGAGTGCTGAGATTATAGGCATGAACCGCCTTGCCCAGACTTTTTTTTTTTTTTTTTTTTAATAGATGGAGTCCCCCTCTGTCGCCCAGGCTGGAGTACCATGGCACAATCTTGGCTCACTGCAACCTCCATCTCTCAGTGTTCAAGCATTTCTCCTGCCTCAGCCTCCCAAGTAGCTGGGACTACAAGTGTGCACCACCATGCCTGGCTAATTTTTGTATCTTTCTTAGAGACAGGGTTTCATCGTGTTGCCCATGCTGCGCTTCAACTCCTGGCCTCATGTGATCCACCCGCCTCAGCCTCCCAAAGTGCTGTGATTACAGGTGTGAGCCACCGTGACTGGCCAGCATAGTGTTTTTGAGATTCATGTGTGTTGTAGTCGTATATTCAATTATTTTAAAACAAAATTTTTTTAGGAATCAGTCTCTTGTTGTGCCATACAGGCTTGAGTGCAATTGTGTGGTCACAGCTCACTGCAGCCCCAAACTCCTGGGCTCACACAATCTTCCTGAGTAGCTAGGACTACAGGTGCACACCACCATGCCTGGGTAATTTTTGTATTTTTAGTAGAGATGGAGTTTCACCATGTTGGTCAGGCTGGTCTCAAACTCCTGACCTCGTGATCCGCCTGCTTCAGCCTCCCAAAGCGCTAGGATTACAGGTATGAACCACTGCGCCCAGCTCCGTATATTTTTTAATTTACTTTTTAATAATTTCCCAGGTGAAAAAATAAAACACTGCAGACTTTTTTTGTTGTTGTTGAGACAGGGCCTTGCTCTGTCTGAAGTACAGACAGTACCCAGGCTGAAGTACAGTAGCGCAACCTTGGCTCACGGCAGCCTTGACTTTTCAGGCTCAACGATCCTCTCATATCAGCCCCTCTGCAAGCAGCTAGGACTATAAGTGCAAACCACCATGCCCCACTAATTTATGTATTTTTTGGTAGAAACAGGGTTTTGCCATGTTGCCCAGGCTGACTGCAGACTTTGAAAAGCACCCAAATGCATTATTCAAGCAACATTAGCCACTGTGTTCAGATTCATGATAATGCAGTAATTTTTTCTGTTCGTCTGTTTTTAGATTTGCACTTTTTGTAATGGTATGAACAATTAAGAGGATTAGACATCTGTGCTGGTCCTTGCTAAAGTTCATCATAGGCAGGGCATGTCCAGGCCTTTAAAATTTGCTCTCAGGTGTCCTGGTTCTAAATAGCACATCTGTCCCACTTAATTAAACCTTAGGCATGACTCTTGCAAACCCCTTGGGTCCTGGCTCTCGTTCAGGCCTGATGACCATGTAATAGGAAGAGAATGGGTGGCAGGTCTCAACTTGGCAACATGAAGCATCATCCCGGTGTTCAGGGTGAGATTCAGTGTTTCTCCTGTAACTTCTCCTTTTTTTTTTTTGGAGACCGTGTCTCGCTCTTTTGT